TTTTAGGTGGGTTCTAGACTTGTATGTTAGTGACCAAAAGATCGAAAACTATGAATACGTTTTCTGGAGCTACTTGATGTCTTGGAAAAAACGTGATATGAAGGTGCCTTAGGGACAAACCAGATTCTAGATGGACATGAAATGCACAGTTTTCTAATTTGCAAATAAATGAGATAAACTAAAACAAAGTTATTAAGGGAAAGGCAGAGGAACAGGAAGAGCTGAAGTACGGACATCTTGTATAATTTGTTGTTTTGTTTAGCATCAGAAGAATTCAGGAGGCGTGGATGCTGTCTGCATTTGAGCTGAGGAAGTTACACAGACTAGTAAGGGCAGCATCGTGTGGTGTGATTAGCAGAGTGAGCCCTGAGTTCACGCTGCTCACAGCAGACTCCCTTCAGTCTCCAGGCATGGGCCAAGCTGCCTACCTGTTTCTGACTCCTACCGGAGCTGTCCCGGTTTCCTCATCTGTAGGGCCTGACAAAATGGAATTATTATGATATGAACTAATTCCCATTGTGTTTTTAACCTGATGTCTGAGAAATTGTCCTTAATTAATGATAGTTGTCTCTGAATTACTCATATGTATATATTATATGTAATACACATAGAATGTAAATGGCTATGTTTAAAATTATTTTATGTGGCTTCCCAAGGTCTCTTTCTTGTAAGTGGTACATGTGGTAAGAGCTGGGGCCAAATTCTAAACTGGGGTCTGTTTCCTGGCCAGAGTGCACATTCTTTTTGTCATAGGACCTCTGAAAGTTTGCTGGATTAGAGGAAGTGAGACGAAAGTGGAACTGAATTGTTAACAAGAGCTGTCACCTGTTGGCCAATCGCTATGTAAGTTAGATATTCTCTTACTTAATCTCATTTCATTAAGTAGCTTGGGAGAGACTGTGGAGTTGGTAAGGCAGAGCTGGGGCGTGTGCCTTACAAAGGCCTCCCTGAAAATCTGTGCCCTCATTTTCAGCTATTCTGTTTCCCGTAAGCAAAATAATGAGGTAGCCCATTCCTAGAAGGGAACCAGAGCTTTGAGAAGCTTGGAGTCGGCCACATACCGGAACATTTTTAAATACCACAGTCCTACTCTGTTCTTTGTACACTCATGTTTACTGTTAGCAACACATAGTGTTGGTAGTTGCTCTTAAAGTCACAGACTCACTTCATTCATTTTCAAGAAAATGTTTGCCAAATTCCCAGGCCTGAAAATTATCTTTCATCTGTTCTTTTAAGTGATAGTGGTGATCCCCAAACTGCCATCTGATGCATTCACAACGCAGATTATTGCACAACTGTGTGTTTTTTAGCTGGCCTTTACTTTATTCCCGGCAGCAACACCGTATCTGTACTTTGCGTTTTAACATGGAGATCATTGATAAGATGGGCAGTCAGGAGTCTATTAGCTATTAGGTTTTACTAATCGCTATTAAGCTGTTGGCAATGACAAATACATTGAGACCTCCAAATTGGTACCGTTCTCTTGATTCACACTAAGGTGCCCAAGGTCTGACCCACCATTGCTTCTCACTGTTGGTGCCAAATACAAATAACACCTCAGTATGTTCTGAAAATAACCTTATGAATCCCTCTGAAAGGTGTTGGAGGCCACTAGGAATCTACAGACCACACATTTTGAGAACTGCAAGTGGAAAAGATATAAACACCGTTTTATGTGAGTAGCTTTATGCCACGTAGGTCGATGGTGGCTCTGTTACGTTCTTACACATAAGATTTATGAAGATTCAAATAGTGTTAACAGATATCAGGTGCTGCTTGCATTGGCTAATGTACTAATGAGTCTTTCAAATGGAGCTTTTAAAAATTATATTAGATTTATATTGAAAAATTTGCTCTTGTATCTGGGAAATGATCTTCAGTTGGTATACTAAACATAGCACAAGTTGTTAATATAATTGTTTCTTTATGATGACAGTTAATTAAAAGTTTTCATATTCTTGAACACCACCCCAAATGGAAAGGAAGAGTGGTTTTAAATTACTCGACTTCTTGTTCATTTGCGTTAACTGAGTTTATCTGCACAGTAATAAAAAATTTTGCGGGTGACTCCATCACTTGCTGGAATGCAGTGAGTGTTTGCTTTCCTGAAAATTTCAAAAGGCTTCTTGTTCCATATACTTACATTTCTGCTATTGACCACTAGATGTCAGGAGAGCCTCAGAAGCACCAGGTCAGGGCTGGTAGAAATTGCACGTTGTAAGCTCGTAGACTTTTGCATATTTCACTGTTTCCACGTGATCGATGCCAGAAGAACATGATACAGTGTGATATTATAGAAGCACGGTACAACTGGAATAATGAAATTCCAAAAATAAGCTTTTTGAAAGGAGGCTGTAATAGTTCTATTGGGTATTGTAAATGCTTCAGGTGCACTTGGTACTGCTGTTACGTTCTTGGCGTTTGGGTCTTTCTCTTTTTTTATGGAAAGATGGATTGAACTTCAATTTAAGAATATTCAGTAATCCCTCTCAGGACATACTGTAACAGCTGGTATTTTTGTGTTGTAGTAAATCGATTCCATACAACAGTCAGTAATAATTATGGCTGGGTTCTGAAAAATTCCAAAGCATTTTCAATAAATTTAGCCAAAGAAAATAACACTATTACACAAAAATTTAACTTGGAAAGTTAAACCCAGCAGTGCTACTTTGTTCCATAAAATCTTAAGTATTTTACTGGTTGGCATTCTATTAAACCATTAAAAATTCATATACACACACAGTACATGTCTGTGTTCTCAGTAGGTAATTTGGAGTATACAAGAAAGATAATTGCATTGTAGTAAGTATACAGCTTTGGAAAAATTTTAATTTTGAATGTTTATTATGAAATAAAAATTGAGAAATCTGAGTCCTTTTATGTGGCAGTATCAGCTCAAAAGTATGTTTTGATGTGGAATGTAAAAGTTTTGTTACTATTCATAGAATGAAAATGTACCAGATTGCATCAGATTGTAATTTTGTTCTGTAAGCATAAGATGACATATATGATGTATGTGATTTATTAAAGAAGAAATATTATAAATTTTTTAAGCCATTAAGGAAGTAGTAGATTGCATATCACGTATGTGTGTATATTTCTCGAACTATATGGGTAATTGGTACCATATAAATTACGACTTTTCTCATGACATAAAAACCTTAAATTGCATATATACATGTAAATAGCTGCCCATATATGTATATATATATTGCCCTAATGGTCGAGATGTATATGCATATTTTTTACAACTTTTAACTTTTTTCAATATCAGAAAAATAAATCTGTTAATTTAACTATTTAAATTACATGTGTTTTTTTTGGAGGCTTTATTGGTGTTTGAACATTTCTACCCTTGCTTTTATAAGGAATTTGCAAAGTGAAAGCTAGGTTGCTTTTTTAAACTAAGGAAAACAGCTTCTGAACTAGACATCAATAAAACCTTGCTTTGTCCTTTTTCTCTCGTTTTTAATTTTTAGCTTGTTTATATTTTCATTTGATATTTAAAATAACTGCCCTCATAGTTTTATTTCGCGTTCTTCTTTGTATGGGTTTGTGTGCGTGCCTTTATTCTATCAGCCTTTGTGATAACGTAAAGCAGATTTCAAGACATCGCAAGCAGATAGCCAGTCCAAGAAAGTGTATCGGATGGTAAATTTTTCCTATCAACTTTACTCTGACAATTAGAAAGCTACTTTAGAAGGCTTTAATGAAATTTTAGAGCTGGATTTTTTTTCAAGTAAAATTTGGCAAACTCAGTTTTCTTTATCCTGTGATATGAATCAGCAGTTTAAATGCATTAAGAATTGAAGCGAGCCTGTTTTTCCAGTGTTTATAGCATCTGTTTTCTTGCCATCCTTGATATGTCAAGTTATAATTTTAAATGAATGAATTTGCTGTTTAGTGAATTAGAGAACTTCATTGAAAAATATATTTAAATGCATCGTGTAGTTCTGATTTCTACAAAAATCTAGATGGGTTGTATTTACCATCATTAGATATTGGTGTCTTAAATTTAAACCAGATGGTCTCCTTCTAGGTGTTAGACCAATGTAAATTTTAATCTTGCTTTAATCTTTCTTTTACGTTTTAATTTTATACTGTATCACCTGAATTTAAAAAAACCTGCCATTTAGCCAGCTTCTATTGTTTGCTTATATTATGCAAGGGGCGTTAATATATTTAATTGTCAAATTTCTAAATTATCATCGCCATTTGCATGTATGGCAATTAATACTTAAGAAGATTAAATAACTTGACCTTGATCACAGATTGAGCAAGATTAGACATTAAGCCAAACTCTCGAACCCTTGTGCTTCAGCTGTCTTCTGTACTGCTTATTTTGGGATAAACTTAGGGTTGTTATGGGAAAAAAAGGCAGTATTTTTCAACATCCATCAGAGCTTGATTTTTGCTAAAATAATTTACTTATTAGCTTGAATCCTCAGGCTTAGTTTAGATTATAGTTTCTCTAAGCCTATAATAATAGCTTGCTTTAATGTTGGTGAAAACTCTTTCAAGATTATTTGCAGTTTTCAGTTAGAGAACTTTGCAGTCGTCGAATTACAATGAACTCTTTAAAAAGCACAATTAGTTCTAGGTCACTGACGATGCATATGGTCTCGGTTACACATTTGGAAACACAGCTAGAATTATGATAACAGAGGGAAGGAATTTCAGAATAGCTTTGACTTACAGAAGCTTCTTAAAGTTCTCCATATGTCTCATCAGTGGCCCCCAAACCAAATGTAAAAATCTTCAGGAAAGCTTTGACACGTGCATGAAGAGCAGTCATGTTTTCAATTAGAAATCACACATCCACATCAGAAACTCTTCTGCGGAGCATCTGCATGTTGTCTGTGGAAGGAATTCTGGAGAATTGTAATCTGTCCACGAGTATATTGGAGTAAAAAGTTTGAATTAGTTACAGACCGTTGCAATTTAATGATCCTCTTTTTATATAGATGTATGTACATGAGTGTTTCTTTTTTTTTTCCTAGAATCAGCTCATGCAACATATAAATCTCTGTTGACACGGTGGCTGCACGCTGCTGAGCTGGGGCTGCCTGTGATTTCTGCGGCGGGAGTGTGTGGAGGGCGCCCGTCCCCCTCAGCCTCCATCATGCCAGCTTTGTCCACTGGCTCTGCTAGTGACACAGGTATGTGAGCCCTGGGGACATGTCCTTCCACCTCTGCCTAAACCTTCTGGTTCTCAGGGAGGTCAGCATGGCTATTCTGTGTTCAGACAGGTCCTGTCTGTCTTATGGCCAGTGTGAAGGCCATCGGGTCACTCAGATGTATCCTTAGTCGCTGACCGTCACTGGACGGTGTCTACCAGCTGCTGCTCTCTTCACATGGGAGCCACGCATGCCAGCAATCTTGCCTTGGCTTCCTTTTGGAGTAATACCAGTATTTAATTTTTTAAAAAATTAGATATTTGAAACACACAGAAAATTCTGACAAATACCATCAGACCTGCACATACTACCCTTCACTGAAATGTAATAACAGGCATGAACTTTTGGCTTCATTTGCATTGGACGTTTTGTTTGTTTTCTTTGAGGAAGAAAACCGCCCCCCCCATCCCACCATCCCATCCGTCTGTTTTGTTTTTGTCTGGTAGCAGAGGTGAAACTGATGTGTGTATCCTGTAACTGACATACGACAGTAAGAGTTTAATTAAAACTAGAAAGCATCTTCTATTTTATAATTGGTAATTAAAACTAGTAAGCATCTTCTATTTTATAATTGGTTGTGAGATTTAGAGATATACAATATAAACATTTCCAAGAAAGCAAAAAGATCACGCACATATATATGTAAAATCTCCCTTTCTGATCAGATGGTGGTGTGTGCCCCTGTGAGGTTTTTCTGAACTCCTCAGAAGCAGCACTTTTCCGAGGTGTAGATTCCTGGATGCCTCTGACAACTTTAGGAATCAGGAGGAGCTGAGATGTAGTTTAGTGGTAGAGAATGTGCTTGGCATGTAAGCTGCTGGGTTTAATCCCTAGCACAAAGAAGGAAGAAAAGGAAGGAAGGAAGGAAGGATGGAAAGAAGAAAAGAAAGAAAGAAAACTAAAGTGTGTGTGGGTTTGGGGTTGTGCAGTGCTTTTTTGTGATCTCTCAAAAGAAGCAATGACATATGACGACTAAAACAAGAATGCTCCATGCTGGGCTGCCCCACAGGGTTCTACTGTCCCAGACTTTCACCAGCCGAGGTAGCGGTCTCACTGGTACCATATTTTCAGAAAGAGCTGAAGGACTAGTTTTATGTTGTGTTACGTTACATTGATATTTTCTTTTGCAGCATTTGCAAATACCATTTTTTTGTTATTTTCAGTCATATCCACACTTAAGTTTTGGTAAGTTTTATCTCATCTTCATCCATGAAAAATGATTTTTTTCCAATGAGATTCATACTGACGGTTAGCTTTGGTTAGGAAGAAATTCTGATTGTCAAATTATATAAAATGTTTTCTTTCCCCAGATATTAACTTAGCAACCATTAATGTGTGAATTTTTCTTTTTAGTTTTATGTAGTCCCATACTGTGTTTTATTACATAAAATTGAGTAATTTAACTTTCCATAGTGGTTTGGGAAATTATAGATAAAATTTATTTGAACCATAAATTTACTGCAGCTAGTCACAAAAAATGTGTTAGTTTAATTGAAAGCAAAATATTATTGTTTACATATAACTCAAAGGATGATAAAATGGAGTATTTGTGAGTTATGGGTCAGTTTAGGTGTCAGTTTTGAAAAACAGCATATAAGCTATTTGGAATTTGCAGAGGACTTTTCCACGCATAACCGTCTAGTGTAGTGCTAATCTGAAGTGCCAACCTGATTAACACTTAGTTTGTGCAGTTTTTGACTTTGTGTCCCAGCAAAGTTTGAGTCAGGCACCAAAGTGTGGTCTTTACATCTGATGTCTGTAGTCGCCTTCTGAGTCCTCCTTGTCAGAGATGGTTGAGCAGTCTGAAAGTCATTTTTTTTTATCATAAGCATAGCTTAGCAGCATTGTTGTTGTTGACCTATCATCAGGTCTGCAGCAGAATAAAATTTAGAGTGTAAGTGACAGAGGCCCATGATATGGGGAAAACTGTGATTAAACAAGTGCAGCATGAAAACATGAACTTTTTTTTGCAATAAACACTTGTATAGTCTGGAGTGTAGCTCAGTGAAATAGCACATGCTTAGCACATGTGAAGCCCTGGCTTTGATCCCCAGTGGGGGTGAGTGGGAGAGAGAGAGAGAGAGAGAGAGAGAGAGAGAGAGAGAGAGAGAGAGAGAGAAAGGGACACTGTTTTCATTTAATGACCGTTCATTCCTCTGTGATTATCTATTTATATGCCTTCCCCATCTTTGTTTGTATATATGTATGATTCTATGTATTTATTTATAGTTTATAATTTATTTCTGGGATTTCTTAATTTGTTCCTTTGTGTATTAATCCTTTGAGCCTTGTAGGTTGAACACTGTTTTCTTTGATCAGCCGTCTATCTGCCCCTCTTTGAATAATACTTTTTATTTTATAGAGCTGAAAACTTATGCAGTCAAATCACTCTTTGGTTATTACAGTTTTTCTTCTGCTTAAGCAGACTTTTCTTATCTCAAGATGATGGAGACAGTCTCTGAAGATTTTTTTCTAATGGTTTGGAAGCTATGTTTTTACACATTTGGAATTTTAACCTAACTGCAATTTGTATGTGGAGGAAGTGATCAAATGTAATCTTACTTAATTTTGTTTTCCTGCGTGGCTTATAAGTTCCCCAGAACCACTTACTCAGCATTCCATTCTTTCACATAAATCTGTGGTTCCTCTTCAGTCATGTATCAGCATATGTTCTGGTTGTAACGATCTGTTGATTTTGTCTTAAAAACTGTTTAGTTCATGAATTTTTATCACAATTTTAGAATTACAGAAAAATTACAGAAATAGTACAGGGAGTCCCACAGACCTCACTCTTAGTTTCCTTTATTGACGTCTTGTTTAGTATTTAAATTAAATTGCTGAAAGAATATTCATACATTGATAGTAACAGAAATCTGTATTTGATTCAGACTTTCTTAGTTTTTCTCTAACGTCCTGGTTTTTGTTCTGAGATTTCATTTGGAATACGATATTGTGTCAGTTGTCAGGTGCTGTGAAGCTCCTTTTGGATTGGATGGGTTCTCCCTTCCCTTGAATTTGATGACCTTGACAGTGTTGAGGAGGACTCCCCGGATACATTGTAGGGTTCTCCTCTATTTGAATTTGTCTGATTTTTTTTTTTATTCACAAAGAGGCTGGGGTTGGGTGTTTTGGGGAGTAAAATCAAAGAGATAAAGTATGATTGTCATCAGATCAGATTAAAGATACCTACTGTCAACCTGATTTGTGACCCTTAGCTGTTAACGCTGATCAGCTGGCTAAAGTCCTGTTGAGTTTTTTCCTTTGTAATTTTTTTTTTTACCTTTTTTCTTTGTATTTTTTTATTTAATTATTTATTTATTTGTCTTTTTCGTTTTTATCGGTACCAGGAATCGAACTCACGACTGCCTGCTTGTAAGGCAGGCGCTTATGCCACTGAGCTAAATCCCCAGCCCTTTTTTTTTTTTTTTTAAATTTTTATTTTGCAAGTATGCAACAGAATAAGTCAGAATAAAGCCAACTAAGATCGTACAGTGAAATTGGTACAGAACTTCACAACAGGTTACTGGGATAACAGTAATAGGTATCACATTATATTTTGTTATCTTTATAATAGTTGTTCTTTCAATCCTGTATATCAAAATGAGATGAAATATAGAACACTATAGAACTTATCAAAACAGAATATTGAATAGAGCAGTACCATTAATCAGAAAAGAGCAAAATAGTAATAAAAATATTTGCCTTCAAAGAAATGGTAGAAGGGAGGAAGGAAGACCCCCTTATTTGCTATGGTCAATCTCCTAGGAGATGCTCAGATTTCTGGTTCCCACTTGCTAATGGGCGAATCCCTAGCCCTTTTTTTTTTTTTTAAATTTTAAAGAGAAAACAAATCCCCAATATAACAGAGTTTCAAAACAGGCTAGTAGGAGAGTTTCCAGAATTAATACATTGTGTATTGTTGTCTTTGTAGTAGTTATTCAGAGTTCCAGATATAGACATGATACCTTATTCAAACGATACTAGCACAAACCTTTCTTTTCAGTGAATTAAGAGAAACTGGCTGTAAGGTTATCTTAATTGTCTTGTGTAGAAATACATCTTTTTCTTTTACCTTCCCTTCTTTTCCCCTTTCCCCTATCATGGTTTGTCTTTTGTTTTTAACAGTTTCTTCCCAATTCATCATATGTATTGTACATTTTGGGTCTTATTTACTTGTTCAGTTTCTCACACTAGTGAGACAATAAGTTCCCCAGAACCACTTACTCAGCATTCCATTCTTTTACATATTTTTACGTTTATACATGAGTCTGATTTATTTCATTTATTTATTTATATGGTTTCCAGTTGCTTCTATTTTCCTATGAAAGTCTCCAGTTCATCCTTCTTTGTGACTGGGTAGTACTCCATTATATAAAAAACACATCTTTTTAATCTGTTCCTCGGTTGGTGTTTGTGTTTTTTCTTTCCTCTTTTTTGATGAGATTGGCTAATGGTTTACAATTTTATTTATTTTTTCAAAGCACCTTTTTGATTCATTGATTCTGTGTATTGTTTTCTTAGTCTCTATTGCATTAATTTTTGTTCTTACAATTTTCTCCTTCCCATGAGTTTGGCTTTGATTTGTTCTTTTTCTAGAAGTTTGAGGTTCAACACTAGGTGGTTTATTTGAGTTCATTTAGTTTTCCTGATGTGTAAGTTCATCGCTACAAATTTCCCTTGCAGGACTGTTCTATTTGCATCCCATAAGCTTCAGTATATTATATTGGTGCTTTTGTTTAATTGTGTATGCTGTTTAATTTCATCTTTAAAATCCTCTATGACTCATGGTTTGTTCAGAAGAGTGTTGTTTAATTTCCACATTTTTTGATGTAGTTTTTGTGTTTTCTTTATTGTTGATTTCCAGTTTCATTGAGCTTTGGTTAGATTGAAAGCATGGAATGATTTCAGTTTCTTGACATTTACTTACACATGTTTTGTCAGCTAATATGCAGTCTGTTTTGGAGAGTGTCCCATGTGCAACT